CTGCTGAACAAACATTGCCACGTATGAACCTGTCAGACCGCTGAAAAGCCCTTCACAAATTAGGTCTTATCAGTAGCTACACAGCCTCCTCGGCATGAAGGCATCAGCTGAAAGAACATATTAAAGGATGAATATGTTGGGTTTGTTGTTTGGGTTTTTTTTTAAACTGTTAACAATTAACTGATGTTGCAGGTTTCAAGGAAATAGTCTACTGTTCTGAGATGAAAAGGGAAAAAAAATATACTCTGCAATTGCTTATAGAATACAGCCTGCAGAGATGTGGAAAAGTAAGAAAACCCAACAAAGCTGAGGATGATGCCTGCTCCTTAACTAACACCGTATCTTTGGCTCACAAAGGTTAGTTAGCTTGGAGCAAAGGTGGAGCACCTGCTTCCAACTAAACCACATTGCTTTCATCAGGTATCTGTCAGACCATGAATTTTACATAAGGATAACTCCTTGCTATTGTTACTGTTGTTTGTGAAGCTCACCACATTAGAGCATTGCTAGCCAGAAAAGAGGCTGAACAAGAGAATGGGTAAGAGGTGTGACCAAAGGCTGTCAGCTCCCAGCACTCACAGCACAGGAAGAAAATGCTGGGGTGTCCTGGTTTTGCTAGGACAGAGTTAATTCTCTTCTTAGTAGCTAGAATAGCTGTGTTTTAGTTTCAGTGTAGGATTTGTTACAAGAATGTTGATAAAGTACTAATGTTATTAGTTGCTGCTGGAGCTCAAGGCCACTGTGTTTGGCTGGTTCACAGCTGTATCAGGACTGGGAGGGAGAAGCACAGTGAAGAGCAAAACCCAAAACTGGCATTTGGATGTGCCAGTGAGATATTCCATATCATATCATGTCATGTCAGGATATTAACCAGGGCTGACTGGAAGACGGGGTACTCTCTCTGGGATCACTTGGGCTCGCTCTTTCAGGGTTTTGGTTTCAGGACTGTCTCTGCTCCGGGATCACTGGCTGGCACCGGCTGGGCATTGGTCAGTGGGTTGTGCGCAATTACACTGTGCATCACTCATTCGTATATTCTGTTATTACTGTTATTATAATTATTATTTTATTTTGATTAGTAAATTGCTTTTATCTCAATCTGTGAGTCTCCTTGTCCTTTTTCTTCCAGTTCTCTCTCCTACTCCCTGGTAGGGGTGGGGATTGAGAGAGCAGGCTGTGTTTGGTTGCAAGCCAAAAGAGTGAAACCACCTCATGGGGTGAAGATGATCACAGATATATGCCCATGTCAGCCTTTGTCCATTAGTTACATGTGACTACAGGCAAAGCGGCGTGCATTATTTTTTTGGCTGGTCAGGAGCCTAAGGGGTCTGACCTATAGTCTTTGGTACTAGTGGCCGAAAGCTGATTAAGTGCTTCAAGGCCAGGTTGGATGGGACTTTGAGCAACCTGATCTAGTGAAAAGTGTCCCTGCCCATGGCAGGGGGGTTGAAACCATATGATCTTTAAGGTCCCTTCCAGCCCAGACCATTCTATGATTCTATGAAGTGTTCAAGGGCATCATTAATACTGTGCAGGTGCATGTTGGTGACTTTGGTTCAGTCCTAAGGTATTTGTGCTGTCTTTAAAAAAGTATTTGAAAGACCTTAATTGAGAGGTTTCCAACATGCAAACCCTAAGAATTCATCTTTAGAAAAGATATAATTAACATGATTACACTATATTTTAGCTTAGTACCTCCCACACTTTTCTTTTTTCATGTGATGTGCATAAAGTACAGGCTAGAAAGTTTTGTATTATAGTTCCCTCATGCTGTACAGATCACTTCATAGGAACATCACCACATCAATAGCTGTTAAACTGAAGAAAGAGTCAGGATCAGACAATGCTGTACATTTTTTAGTATGTTGTAATTTTCAAATAAGCAGTATACAAGGCTAAAAAGCATTTTGTTCAAATCTACAGAGGGTCTACTTAAAAGTCAATATTTATCAACCCTTAATATTTGAATTTGCAATTCCAATTTTTATTTGATCTCCACTATTCATCATACATAACATAAAATAATTTTATGATAAAGTTAGCTTTTAAATAACATCTATAAACACCAAACAAACATTGAACAAAAGTCCTCTGCAGGGAATGTGACTAACATAAGGCAAGACACCTGAGATTTATGTCAAGTTTTTAAAAACTGGGTGTCATCTGTTCAGCTCCTTAAACTTGTACCTAGCTCTTTCCACTCAGGCTATAAACCTCTGATGACAAACATCTATTTCAAGGCTGGAGATGACTGAATTATTCCTTGTCAATAAGTTATTTCTCACATAGTACAGCCCCCCTCACTCTTTATGAATCACTCCTGATTTACAAATACATGCTGAATAGCCCAGATGAGAGTGGTTCACTTCTTCCTGTGACCCCTGTTGCCTTGATGTAGGAAGGTGCATCTGAAAACCAACAACGATGAAATACATCTTCATACCTTGCTGTGTGCTAGTTTCTTGCCCCCATAATTCATCACCCTGACTAATGAGGAGAAAGAAGACATTGCCCCACAGTTTTGGAAGATGACCTGACAAAGGTATGGATTACTGGGATAAGGGGCAGAAAATGGGTGTCGGACTCTCTCTGCCACCCCCTCTCCCCCTGTTTTACTGCCTTGTGAAGTGTGCGTTGGGTGACATAACGAGGTCTGCTGCCAAATTCTACACTCTCTTCCCCCTAAACCCACATTGCAGCTGCATCAGCTCTGACAGAAATGGGAACTGGTCCATAAAGAATCAGACACTGGGCTAGACAAATGCACCTCAGCCTGCTGGGAATTAATAGGTGACTTTTTTGGTGTTTACCTTCTACAGGATTGTCCCTTTATTTCAAATTTTGATATATTTTCATGAACTACCCACAAGTATTTGTTAAAGTCCTTGCAGAGGAGTAAGAACATAACACCATGAATATGAAATAAACCAGAATCAGTGGGTTAATTGGTGAAACTCATGTTGTAGTGTGCCATCAACTCTGCCCGGTGTGCCAAGAAAGTCTTTGCTCGAAAAATACTCTCATAACACAGGCTGGCTTCTGGCAGCTTTGCTTTCTCTCTGGCCATCAAATCTACTGTTTTATCAGCAGGACCTGGATGCAGTGCAGGCTGAACCAGGGGAAAAACCACAAACCAGCACGTGAGGAGCCTAAAGAGGAACTAGTCCTATCTAACCAAGAACTGCTGCAGGCTATTTTATCAGTGGAAGAGAGATGAATAACAAGTATAAATGCACCTATGAACACTGAATAATTTGCAGTAAGCTGTAGGCAGAATTGATGCTACATTCTGAAAGACAGCCTGTAGAAACTAGCTCCCTTAAAAACACTAATTGTGAACATCCCTTGTACTGACAACTCACCAGTCACATTAACATATAACAACATAATATGGCTAAAATAATCTCACAGGCATTTCACACCTGATTTTGATTCAGTCATTAGCTTTTGTTCAGAAACTTTTGAAAATTCAGATGGGGAAAGGTTTTGTTAAAATCAGGTTTGGTCAAATTTCAGTATTTCTTTGTATAGCTCAGACACTGCACTATTATATCCTTTGTGACACTGGAAACAAAACAAGACAGAGAACCAAATAAACCCACTCACTAGGTCATATAGAAAGTGTATGATGAGAAATACATGTACTAGTAAAGATCCTTGCTTTCTTAAAAATAAAAAGGAATCACTGTGATACTGGTTAAACAGGCAAGAAAGTGTAAGCTTATGCAGGGATCCTACGTATCCTAAGCAGCCATTAATCAACACTGTTTCACTGACAACACACCTTTAGAAAGCATTCCTGATTTATAACTCAATAGTACTCCTCTGGGCATCAGTGACCTGAAGATATATGTA